TTATGTGAAGTCTGTATTTTAATGAAGCTGTCAGAATTTCTTAGTTAAGATACACTTTAAAATAAATAAATAAAACTGTTTTCAAGGGAGACAGAAAATAGCATTAAAAGAATTGGCACTAGTTTCTCAGCACAGCCATGCCTGTTACTTGGTGTACTATTGCTGCATTTTTTTCAGGTTTTACAGCAAATAATAATGTCTAGATTGCTGCAGAATGCAACAGCTTAGATAATGTGGTGAGTGTTCTACTGGGAGGGGTGCAAACCACTTCAAAATGGGAACTGGTGCTGCCAGGGAAGGTATTTGCTGTTGCTGATGGTTGTACGTGTGGCAGAAAAAGTTTGGGAACTCCCTGGCTTGGAATAAGTAACTCCCTGCAGGTAGATGGTCTGCACAGATTAACTGTGGCCTTATTAGGCCAGGCTGTTACTGTACTGTTCGGTTACTGGTACCAGTAACAAAAAAAAATCTTTAAACCCCATACAGGATGAGAAGAAATCTCCAGAGAAGTGTATGAATTATTTATATATCTTATTTCTTCTCAAGTATCTGTAAAAAATAACTTGATATTACTGTTTTGAGGAATCTCTGAAGAAGTTCATGAAATCTTTAATTCTTCAACACCAGTGCCTTTTCTGAAAGACTGAGCTTGGTATGCCGAAGTCAGAGCTCGGCTTATCCTGTCTCTCCTTAGCCAAGAGGAATCCATTCAGGGATGAAATGATGTATTTGGGGAAGCCTTAGGGCTGATTTCATGTTGGCTGTAGTAGTAATATGAATCATAAGTAAATCAGTTTGCAGTATCATAAACAGAACCATTTGGGAGGGATGCAGATTTAACTTGGAAGGCTGTGGGGACACCAGGGTGTTTATAGGTCTGGGAAGGGTGACAGACAGGAAAAGGGCATTCCACAGCCCAAATTTCAGCTCTTTTTTACTGTATGTTGTTAGCAGTAACTTGTAATCTATTAGCTAAGATTTTCAAAATACCAGTATGATTTAGTCATGACTTCCACTGAGGTGTAATGGACAATAAGATTGAATACCATGTATTTAGAAAAAAAAAAAAAATATATTTTCAGTCATTACTGAAGCATGCTATAGTATATTTGTGTGAGGATAAAGAAAAGACAGGTGAGATCTACTGTGTGGGTAGGCGAGCTTCCAAGAGCATTAACGTTTTATTTTAAGAGATGAATAAAAGCCTCAAAATTGCTTTAGACTTGGCAGGTAAGGATTGTTATGCTTCATCTTGCCTCTTGGCCAGAAAGCTCAGTAAGTGGGAGCTTGCCAGATACGGCAGTCTTCCCCACTACCTGAATTTAATTTAAACCATTCTGTGCAGCCCTGATTTTAATCCTTTCATTTTGGTTTTGAGTTACCGCATATATGGCACAATGGAAATATTTTTTCAAACTTAAATTAGAAACATATTCTAGGAGACAAAAAAAAAAAAAAAAGTGCCTGTCTTCTGTGCAGAATGACACATCTTTAGCTGTTGGATGAGGTATAACCATAGTAACTTTTTACTTGAAAAGTTTGATTATCAGTAGAGAAACGTGGATTTTCTGCGTTGTGTGTTTTTTCCTTCTCATCACCCTGGCAGGTTGTACACAGCACAAAAACTTTCTTCAGAATGGCCAAACTCTGTGAAAGATAACAAAAAAAAATAAATAAAAATAAAATAAACGTTTCTAAAATAGCTTGAGATGGAAGTGTGATGTGTCAAATGTAAAAATCGGTGTGGCATTCTTAGTTCTTTGACAGGTGATTACAGATGTCAGAATACTGCTGCTCTGGCCAAATTGTCCAGGAAGAAACATAACACAAACACCTTCTACACTTCATATCTGAAATACTGGTGGTTTGATGTTGTGCATGTGTGTGTTTTTGTTTAATTCTACTTAGAGGTTTTTTTTATTCTCCATAAAAGATGGCAACACTGTCACCTCCAAGACTGTGTTTCAATGATATGCTGACTACTTTTGCTCTAAACAGAGAACAGAACAGGACGTATAAATGCTCCATAAAGATGGAGTCGAGTAACAGTAGTGGAAAAAGGATGAGTTGCACGTTGATCTTGAGTTTTGCAGTACAGGCTGGCCTTGTTCCTTCCACAAGGAAAATAGTAGGCCTTGAAGATAGAAAAGAAAGATTTTCTGCAATGTTTTCATAAGGCTTGGAGTATCAGACCTTCATGGAACGACTACAGCACATGTGTGGAAAGCATAGTGCAAACCTTCATTCCAGGAGGTGTTATTAGTGGTTCGTTGTCAAACAAAGGATGTGTTGGGTGGCCTATCACAGAGAACCTGGGCATGGTGCTTTTTGACACATTCGTCAAAAACACAATTGGAAAATTAGAGTAGGGGTTATGAAGGTGACAGTTATGAACTGGAATTTAAAAAAAAGGGGGGGGGGATTTTGGTCAAGAGGGACAAGTGTGAGGTACTGTCACAGGACAGGAGTAACCTGCTGCATAACCAATGGTCAGTGGCTGATCTAACATCGGTTATTGCGATTCCTTCTTCCTTATGTTGCACTAAAAGCATTTAATACATTTACCCATGAAATAATCATTTTATTCAAGTAGCATTGGAAAGCACCAGGCCTAATGCGTCCTAGTCTGGGCACTGCATCTCAGAGCAACTGAACACCAACAAGGAGAGTTCAGCATGGAGCACTGAAAATACACTGAGGTCTAAAAAATCTCTCAGGGTCTAAGTCACTGAGATGATGCTTGATGACTTCTTATAAATGATTACGAAAATTTGATTAAAATACCAAATTTTTTGAAGAAGGGTTTTAGCCTTTTAAACAGCCAATTTTTTCAGTAAATCAGGCATGTATCAATATAATTTCTGCACATGCTTCCTGTGCTTGCAAGTTGGCAGCAGAACAGGAAAAAGAATAGAAAGGAATAGTTGATATACAGTTGCAATTAAAGGAATGTGAAGACTTTGTTCTTCAAAAGACCATTTAGGGTCTACTTCTGAAGACAAAAATGCCCGTACATCATGTCTGTGTGGACATAGCATGATGATGTATTGGGACTGGGACTACTGGAACGTAACCTTTAGTTAATCAGTTTGGTTATCTAGATGCCAAACTATTTGTTAATATGATTGTCTCACCAGGCTGTTGTCTGAAATCTGCCTTTTTCAGAAAAAATATAAGCAGCGTTTGATAGAGCTTTAGAAAGATCACTTTGAAAAGTGTCTCAATTAATTATTACTGTAAATTGTTGATGAAATAGGCATCATTTATGGACTGGTTTGGTAAATGAAATTCACTTATTAGGTAATCTTACTAGTGCTGATTCGGGGTAGGGGGTGCAATTATGTTAACGAGATCACTGGAAAAACTGCTTACTTCTGCTGTGCTTAGAAAACTGTGAAGTTAACTGTAGCTTCCCTGAGTGCTGGTGTGTGGAGAAGGTCACTCTGTCATCCTTTGGTGTTGGCCAGGAGTCACAGCTGACATGATTGTTTCAAGACCAGGTGGATTGAAAGAGAGGAAGGGACAGGCAGGGTATCACCACTGAGGAAAGCTTATCTGCGACATGCTAGCTACCCTGGCAAAGTGTAAAAAGGCCAATTAGCTCTCTGCTTGTCCTTCCCTTCCTGTTGTTCCCTGCCCAGATGTGAGCCACTCACAACTTTTTCCTAAGGCTTTGAGCAACAAGTTGCTTAAACTAAGGACTGGCAGGAAATCATTTAATAAACTGGGGGTAGGGAGAAGTTTCCTGTCCTACTTACTCCCTAAATAATTCCTAAGTTAAGAAGAGAAGACAGTTCAGCAGGCCAAGCCACTAGCCCCACTATCCTTATCTGTGTTCCTCTGACAGTGAAGGTCCAGCCAAGCTGACCACATCCCTGTGGATTTGGCCTTCATTCCAACAGGGACGCCAAAAAACTTCAAATGCATTTTAAAAGCATGTTGGGGTTTAAGTACCAGGTTAGCATAAAGGGCGTGCTTTCAAGGCCACAGCTATGTGATCAGCTCTGTGTAGGTGGGCTGGATTGGAACCTCAGGACCCTCGTGGGATCCTTACCGACATTTAATGATGAATCAATCTGTGTGAAGCCTATTTTGCAATGCATGTAAAGAGCACAACTGGGATTGATTAGGTATTTGTCTTGTCTTATACCATACAGTATTAACACTTTACCACCTTGGTCTGTAAGTAAAAGGGCTTTATTACTTTTAATCCTAAAGAAGCTAAGAAAAGGTGAAGATGTTCATTTTGTGTGTGAGAATGGTGCAGGCCTGTGTTACACCTAAGGCAGTGCAAATCCCTATAACCTCTTCCTGCCTGGTGGGCAGCTGCTCTTCACCTCCCAGCCCCGCACTTGTTGCTCACAGGAAGGCTGCAAGGAGTTTCCTGCACCCAGTCATGCTAGGGTAGAGGGGAACAAGTTCATATAAGGCTAGATCCTGCTCTAAAGGTCCACCACTATCAGATACCTAAAATGCATAAGGCATTACATAAATCCTACTTACACTTTTGATGTGGATATCTCCTGAATATTTCTTGTCTTATTCTCCATCCCAGTAAATGTGAAAAACACTTGTGTGTTTGCTACAGAATGCATGCACTTGTTTAAAGTAGTGTAAAAATTATCATTTGAGTGTATGAATAATAGGCTTGTAAATTCTGTAATAAGCACATGGCAAGTTCAGAGATTTAATACTTTAACAATCCTACTTAAGAGCTGCACTGAAAGTGTAGCATATTGAAAATAACACAAATTGAAAACTGCAACAGTTTTGTAGTGTGCCTGATAAGTTCTGTCAGATTCAATAAAGAATGTTTTCTAAGTAGCTGCCATATTTAAAGCACTATTGACTACATCTGTGCTACAAATGAAAAAAAAAAAAATAAGCCTTGCTGTGCTTCCAAGTATACAAATACTATTATTCAACACCTGAAGACAAATTATTTACTAAAGACATGACATTTGTTTTCAGAAAGATGTGTGTATTTATTTCTCAAGCAGACATCGTCAGCACAGCTGAAAAACCTCCTGGAAAGCACAACGCTGCAGAAGGGTCCTGAGGAAGGTTACAACAATGTTCTGCGAGATGTGGGATCTGGTGGGCTGCCTGCTTCCAGTGACCTGGGGACCCTGTCAGGTACAGCAATGAGTTCAGTTTTATCAAGGTCTATAGCAAACTTCAGGTAAACAGATTAAAATCCTGGATTAGAAGCTTTTGTCCATACTGGGAGTTAACTTTTCTGTGTTGTAGTGGGCAGCACAGAAAACTTTAGTTCTGGTTTAATTTTCTAATTGTCGCTTAATGTTGAAATATTGCAAATTTTCTTCTACACTTGAAAAAAAAGTTTAATATGCCAGGGATGTAGCATATATCTTTGCACCATGCTTGCACTCTACTTTTTAGGACAGTTGTCATCAGCCTAGTCTCATCCTCTTTCTAGCTGTAAATCTAAATGCACTGTAATTTTATTGTCATGGTCTTACATGCCTACACTTCTATTCAGCAGAATTAGCCACAAGTTTAAAAGTCCCCAAAGACATGATATTCACCTTTCTTCAATGTAACACTCTACTGCATTTTTATTATTTTTACTTTTAATTTTCATCTGCAGCCCCAAGAGCTAAACCCCCTCACCTTTTAAGTGAAATAGTTGAGAATTTGTAATGTAAAAGTTGTGGTCTCCTGTGCCTGCAGGAGGTCAGACTTTCTCAGAAGTACTAGAAATTGCTAAAACGTAGAAAAATTGAGTTTAGTAAAGTTCTGTCTGGTGTTCTTTAGTAAGACCGGAACTGTTAGGCAATATGTGCAGGATTAAGCTGGCTGTAGGAGAGTTCAGTTTCAAAAGAGGCTATAGGGTACAGCTGTGTGCTAATTGATCATTCGTTAAAAGCCAATTCCAGTTTCACTGTTCTGACTGTGCTCACAGGAGCTACAGGAGAAACAAATGGGAGAATGCATTTTTAAAAGCAGATATCTGCAACCTGACATTGGGAGTACAGATGGTTACACATGCTGGACAGTTTTGTTTGGTATTATGTTTTGCTTATAATTGCTTTGAAAGTGAGTTAAGGAAAAGTTCTTTTGTTTCTGGTATTTTTTTCACAGATCATAATTTCTGCATAGTTTTAGCTTTTTCTCCCTGTAATGCCATAGGCTTATAGTCACCTCTCAGCTCAATCTGACAGGCTGAAATCAATGCGAAATTAAAATCTGCTAGTTAAAGGGAAAAGCATCTCGAAAATCAAAATGTATCAGTTCAAGTGAAATCCTTCTGAGCCTGTTTCTGTTACCTTACTTTCATACACTGCCTTGAATATTCTGTTTGGAAGTCCTTTGTGATTTACCTGAAGTCATTCCAGTAAATTTTCTCCCTAGTTCTTTTTCATTGCTGCACTACTTAAGTATGGGAAGGCTTGTTTGGTTGTTTGTTTTGTTCCTTCAGTGCTCTGCCTGGAATTTTAAAGCAAAAGAAAACTTATGTATATGTGCAAATGATAGAAACCTCAATTTCAGACAGCAAAAGTTTGAGTGGATATTTCAGCAAAGGCATAATTATTAGTAGTCATAAGGATGTATCAGTCTGCCAATAATTGGGCTGGGGTGCAAGTTCTCAGGCAGGCACATTGAATCGTCTGACCTGAGCTTTTGTATCCAGATCTAAGTTGTCGATTGTCTCTCATGACACTGTCAAAATACGTTTACTCTGAATATGCATAACCTGTTTTCTTTCACCACACTTTCCATATTTTTTCCTGAACTGTGCTCTTGTAGGCTGTTCTGTTCTCCATATAAACGCAGTTGGTCTGTCTCCCCCCTTAGCCTCCAAGGATTTGGTCTGTGAGGGGGAAGTGTTTAAAAATAATTCCAGTTACGGTAGAACAGCCTGTATCCTTTCTATAGAGTAGCTGATATCAGACTTCTGAGTTCACAAAGTAGTCAACAAAAGATCCATAAAAGCATCTAAGGATTCTGAAGGACGAAGACTTTTTTTTCGTCTTCCCTTTAAAGGGAAAATGGGACTTTCCAAGCAGGAGTAGACTTTCAGACTTTCTGGAAGCCTGAATGACACATACCCCTTTTTAGAAGAAGAAAAAGAAGAAAAACTACCCAACTTATTGAAAGCTTTCCCTTGGAGAATACAGACAGCTCTTCTGCAATACCTAGTAAAAATATAGATGGAATATTAAGGGGTCCTGAATATGAGTGGAGCTAAAGAGAGAAATCTCTCCTATTTTTTTTGACTTGGTGTGAGAGAGATACACATGCATGCCAGCTCCTAGGAGGTGGGTGAGAGATGTATTTTGCTCACTCGATCACAGTAAAGCTGGGGGAGGTGAAGAGATGCAACACAAGGCTGCAGATGGAAAACTAGACCAGGGAGTATGCGCCTCCAGGGAAAAGCCAGTGACTGCCTGTGGCTACCAAATAACTTCCCAGTGTGGGAGGGCTTAAAGCAGGGGCCAAATTAGGAGATGCAAAATAGAGAGTGAAGAGGAGTTGGGGGTACAGGAGGGAATCAGCTAAAACGGAGAGAGGGGTAAGTAACAGCTCCATGACTTGCTCCCCTCCCAGTACCAGCAGCACGCTGAGGCATTACTGCCACCCAGCAAGGAGACAGCAGGAGGATGGGTGTCCCACTCAAAGTCACCTTGCATGATTCTCACTGCAGCAGAAGGGATTTAAAGCTAGCATCTGAAGCACATGGATAAAAAAAAAAAAAAAAAAAAAAAAAGAGGCCAAATGGTAGAGCAGAACACTGCCTTAGGCCTTGATTTGGTAGCCTTTGAAATTTCAAGGCAGAAATTCTGCTAGGAACTAGAGAAAAGCATAAGCATAGAGTACATGCTCAGCGTTTCATGGCTGGTCACCGTGTTCAGCAGCACCAGAGGCAGGAGTCACAACAAATGTTTGTATTTTAAAATGTTCATTTACTGCTGTGGTGCTATCAAGAGTTAGACATGCTCCAGTAAGGCAGGTTTTTCTCAATCCAATGTTTCATGAACTTTTTAAAAAAAAATCTTTAAAAGGGGTTTTGGAGACTTTAGCACTAATTTGAAAACAGCATTGGACTATTCATAAAAGTAATGATATTTTTAATCCATGCACATATAACTGGAAACCCATTTGTTAAGCTTTCTCACTCTCTACTATCTATCAAAGTCAGAACTTCTTATAAAGTGGTATCTGTTAGGAACAATATTTTTACACTCCCCAAATTTGTTGTGTTACTTCTGACAGGCTAAATGTTGAAATCATTTCCTTTACATACAAATTTAAATTTCTCTTTTTTTCTGGCATATAAGATTAAATGATGAAAATAATACACACTTTTCTTCTCAGTATTAGCTACATTCAGAGCGCCATGCAAAACCTTTCTCACTATTACGAGCATATTATTTCCTCTGTTGAATGCTAGTAGGTAGTGCCTTCACTTTGTTTATAGAGTGTAGGTTCTTTGGGAAGCCCATGCAGAAATGTCTCACTGGGCTCCTTGTCCTGTTCCTCAGATGCTGTTATCTCTCTGGAGACGGCCTCTCTTCAGGTCGTCTTCGCTGCTCCGCTGATGCAACTCTCACTGTTTCACTGATGCCCCCTTCTGCCCTCCTTGCCTCATATCAGGGGAAAATCTTAGTTCATGGCTACGTAGAAACTGCATGGCCTATGATGTTCAGTCTGGGTTTGAGTACTGCTGGTACACCCTGGGACAGGTGCATCCCGATGGTTAGTGGAGGAGTTGCATGCGGAAGCAATTAGCACTTTCTGCAAGGTCCTTATGAAGGCCCTGGAAACACTCCAAAGGTAAATCCGTTAGGAGTCCTTATATGTAAGCGTGACCAAACCCACTCTGAAGAGCACACTTGGCTACACACAGTTCTAATTGTGTGCTCACCTGTGAAATTTTAGCCAATGCACTGTATCTGAAATAAGCTCCTCTTTACAAAAAATGTCAGAGTATCTTTGAAAAATTAGGGCCAATCTCTATGGCTGTTCTTGCTCACATAATCCTTTCCACTCCAAAAAAAAACTTTACTGCGATACAAGACTGCACATACCATTTTCCTTCATAGCTTTTGTTTCCAGACCATTTTCCATGTCACACTGCTCCTGGGTCAGTCAGCAAAAGGACCAGATTCTGGCTCTAAGGAGCAGTTCTTCTTCCTGGCCAGAGACACCCAGGGAATCAGGTGGGAACGACCCAGACCCGTCTACTATGCTCGTGCAGCCCCAGGGGTTTGGTTCCAGTGGGTTGCATTCAGGCAGTGCACACCTTGCTAAGAAGTATTGAAACTACCAGTTTCCGTAAGTTTTTCTTCAATTGGTCTTGGGATGTGACCATGGCACTGAATGACTTCAAATCTGAAGGCCTGCCTGCCCTAGGAAATCTGTTGAGGAATGGCTCTTTGCTGGGGGTCCCATGGGCATGCCAGGGACGCTTCTGGAACTGGTCAGGAACAGCCCCTGTAGGAACCACCCCCGTACGGATCAGTCCTTGGGCTGGGAGGCCTGGCCTCCCAGGGGGTACCAGAAAGCTTGTTCTGGGGGAGGGGTGGATTTTAAAAGCTCAGAACTCTGAAATTCCCACAGTGTGGATACTTCTGTAATACAGACCCCAAGTCCAAAGAGTACAGGTGCTGGGCAACCAAAAAGCTCAAACTTTGTGAGAGGTTTTGTCCATTAAAAATAGGGGTGAGAGGGTACAGGCTGCTTTAATTCAGAGTGAGAAAGGGGAAGGGAACATGACCCTTTTTCTAAGTGGAATTTTTAGGGAAAAGGTGGCTGCAGCTTACAGAGTTTTCAAGTGCAAGGATTGTAATGCTGTTCCCAATGCCAGCTGCAGTTCTATCACGCTCCCGTGGAAAAAAAAATCAGTCACTGTGCTATCATTATTTTTAAAATATTAAATGTGGTTAACACTCAGCCCCCTGGTTTGTGTTGCAGTGACAGTTTGACATACAGCAACTTCATAGCTAAAACCAAAACCGGTACCATGTTTCAGTCCTCACATCATGTTGGGTTGGTGGCAATATTGGTGTCTTCAGAAATGAACCAGTTAGAAATTAAAAAGCAGGACACTGATGTATTATTCAAAAATTCATTAAGATGAACTTTTCTCTTCCTTTTAAGGATCCGTTAAT